AGGCAAGCACAGACTATCCATGCAACCCCGACAAACAATACTATGGGCGTGGACCATTCCAAATTACATGGAATTACAATTATGGACCCGCTGGAAACAGCATTGGCTTGGACCTTTTAAACTCTCCAGAAACCGTGGCCTCAGACGCTGCTGTTGCATTTAAGACTGCCATTTGGTATTGGGTGGGAAATGTTCGTCCTGTTTTAAGTCAAGGATTTGGAGCCACAACTCGAGCCATTAATGGTGCTAAGGAATGCGATGGTCAACGACCTGACCTAGTTCAAGCCCGGGCCGCCTTGTACCAGAGTTATTGCAGCCAACTTAATGTTGATCCTGGCACTAATCTCAGTTGCTAGAATGCCAAAACTTATTAATTATCTTAATTGCCCCCTTTCATACGATTATATATATCATGTTTTTATTTGTTCCCAAGCTAGCATGGAAGGAGAGGACTACCTCCTGTTGTGTACTCCACCCATTGAATAAATAAAGACTAAATATTTGCATTGAATGTGTTTTTTGTCATTCGCTAGGGTGGAGGATGACGCAGAATTATATTGAATTGCCTCAAGATTATCTTCTATGTGAATCGAACCCGAGTGCACTTAGGGGGGAAGGGAAGAGTTTTGGTCTACTTTTCTACCGTGATGCCAACCCATGTGCTGTATTGAATGTTATATATACTGTTGAAAATTGTAGGAATCTTTGTGAAGTCTGTTTAGCGAACATTTGTGATTGGTTTGATATGAATATGAGATTAGTTGTGCTGAGGACCTGTTTTCTTCAAAATTTGTTTATATTTCAGTTTCTACCCTAACTTGAGAAAGAATAAATACTCCTTGGCGGTAAAGATTGCTTGGAGTACAATTCGGGCTAATTACCTTTTTTAAGCAACTAGAAACCCTAATCAAATAAGGTCCTATAGCCACAATTTGACTCAAGAAAAATTCAGGCCCAAACATGAACAAAAGCGCATATTATTTTAGCATGAACAGTTCCACATCACGGTACCATCTAGAATCTTGGTATTTTCACATAGCTCTTTCCTGTTTGTCAATCACTTCTCCCGATTTGTCATTTCTCATCACTTTCTGTTGATCCACTTTTTGGCATTGAACCTAAATTTCCCTCTCGTTTCCTCAAATAAAGTTCCCAACTTTCTTTTCCGTCTCACTTCTAATTGTTTGAATCAAATTGAATTGCAGACAGAGAAAGTAAATTAAGGTATTAAAACAAAGCATTTTCATTCATACCTTCCCGAGCTCAGATATTGAGATTTCTTACAAGAATTGCCAATATTCCTGGAGTCATATGACACTATACAACTTCCCAACTTCTCAAAAGAAAGGGAATCTAGAATTATTCTAATGAGTCAAAAAAGAAATAGCTATGCTACAGTCAGTCGCATGTGTGAGATTAGACCATTTTTTACCACTCATTATTGTGGGACACAAATTTGATTAATGGTCAGAAATTGCTTCCTTGTTCTTATTTAGGTTCCTCTTTCCTTCAAAGTCATGATCATGTGTTGTTCCAGTGTTCCTATTGTCAGTTCATATGGTATAAGCTTCTCCTCATTGTGGATTGTATTGGCACTAGTTTGCCATGCACCTCTTGCTTTGCACGATCTGTGGATCACTCGAACAGCAACCAACTCTCTTCTGTAATCCATGGTTTTAAGTTTTAGATTTACGACATTTTTCATTTCTTGCTTGCATTTATTATTGTTGGCGTGATTTGTGGATATTGACTTACTTTCCTTACACACCAAGGATTCCTATTATAATTGTAATTGATTTACTTTAATTCCTGATTTCCTACTGTAAATAGATTTAGGAATCTATTATTTACTTGCCCATTCAAGTTTTGTTGTATTATAAATATGACCTCATACAAGGAGAAGAATACACAGAAAATTCCCACAAACAAATATTCTATCATAGTTCTTATATTTTAGCAGATTAAATTCAAATTTATCAAACACAAATTCTCAGTTAGTGGGCCACACTTACCCATTAATTCTCAATTTTTCCCATAGGTCATCTACCTATGAAAATCTTCAAATCGTCCCAAAGACACAAATTCTAAATTATTGGGCCACATTTACCCATTAATTTTTAAATTTTGGAACTACGCACGTTTGATCCCATCAAGGGTGCGTAGGCAACCTAACATCCCAATAGACGCAACCGCAACCAAATTTGAATCACTGGTTATATCAACCAAATTCCCTCAAATCAAATATCTATCTCCACACAAGTCCATTCCGAACTACGTTGGTTTGATCCCTTTGGAAGAGTATGTAGGCAATCTAGAGAATCAATCTAGATGCAACCATCCAAATCTCCAAACAGAATCCTTAGTTTATTCTTAATCAAATTCGCCCCAAAACACATATCGAAATCGAATCCCTGGTTTATTCAGTTAAATTCACTCAAACTCTTTTCCAATCAAATTCATACAAATCCTCCCTTTTGCAATGAGTCATCTTTTCATTGCGAATATTTGAACTACGAGTGGCTTGATTCCCGCGAGGGGTACGTAGGCATCCTGAGGTTGGACTTGGGAGCAGCTAAAAAATCAAACACACACATTCTATTTCTTTATGATGGAATTAAAGGGTATTCCCTTGAAGCAAGGGATTGTAATTAAGAGACTTGCGTCTCGAATGGATCGAACCTAAAATAATAAAACCTCATTATTTAATTAGCGGTGGTGAAATTATGTTGGGAGGTTCACATTTTCCTCAATAGCCCCCTTTAATACGATATATATATATATATATCAATATATCATGTTTTTTTAATGGTTCCCAAGCTAGCATGGAAGGAGAAGACTATCTCCTGTTGTGTACTCCACCCATTGACAAATGAAGACTAAATATTTGTATTGAATGTGTTTTTTGTTGTTCACTAGGGAGGTGGATGAGGTAGAATTATATTGGATTGCCTTAAGATTGTCTTCTATGTGAATCGAACCCGGGTGCACTTAGGGGGGAAGGAGGGAGTTTTGGCCTATTTTTCTACTGTGATGCCACCCTATGTGCTGTGTGTTGAATGTTATATATACTGTTGAAAATTGTAGGAATCTTTGTGAAGTCTGTTTAGCAAACATTTGTGATTGGTTTGATATGAATATGAGATTAGTTGTACTGAGGACCTGTTTTCTTCTAAATTTGTTTATATATCGGCTTCTAACCTAACTTGAGAAAGAATAAATACTCCTTGGCAGTAAAGATTGCTTGGAGTACAATCGGGCTAATTACCTGTTTTAAGCAACTAGAAACCCTAATCAAATAAGGTCATATAAGCCACAATTTGACTTAAGAAAAATTCAGGCCAAAACATGAACAAAAGCGCATATTATTTTGGCACGAACAGTTCCACATCACTGTACCCTATAGAATCTTGTTATTTTCACATAGCTCTTTCTTGTCTGCCAATCTCTTCTCCCGATTTGTCATTTCTCATCACTTTCTATTGATCCACTTTTCGGCATCGAACCTAAATTTCCCTTTCATTTACTCAAACAAAGTTCCCAACTTTCTTCTCCGTCTCACTTCTAATTGTTTGAATCAAATTGAACTGCAGGCAGAGAGTAAATTAAGGTATCAAAACAACGCATTTTCATTCATAACCTTCCCGAGCTCAGATATTGAGATTTCTTACAAGAATTGCCAATATTCCTGGAGTCATATCACACTATACAAATGATAGAACTTCCCAACTTCTCAAAAGAAAGGGAATCTAGAATTATTCTAACGAGTCAAAAAAGAAATAGCTATGCTACAGTCAGTCGCTTGTGCGAGATTAGGCCATTTTTTACCATTCATTATTGTGGGACACAAATTTGATTAATGGTCAGAAATTGCTCACTTGTTCTTATTTATGTTCGTCTTTCCTTCAAAGTCATGATCATGTGTTGTTCCAATGTTCCTATTGTAGGTTCATATGGTATAAGCTTCTCCTCATTGTGGATTGTATTGGCACTAGTTTGCCATGCACCTCTTTCTTTGCATGGTCTGTGGATCACTCGAATGGGAACCAACTCTCTTCTGCAATCCATGGTTCCGTCTTGAGGCAACAGTTTACTGTATATGGAATCCAGCTTATTTATCTTTTTGAATTCGAAAGCTATTTCTGTCAAGAATGTTATTAAAAGATATTGGCTACTTTAATCATGAAGTTGGATTAAGTCTGTTTGCTTTGTTTGATCTAATCAGATCATATCGCAATTTTGTTCATATATTGACCATTAAAAGTCCTGTGGAAAGAAATGATCATGTCTTTTTTATTAAAAAAAAAAAAAAAAAAAAAAAAAAAAAAAAAAAAGTAATGTATGGTATCAAGAAATATTAATACTGGTCTCTTCCTATAAGATTAGTGTTTTGTCGCGACCTAAGTCTGGCAGCTAGGGTTTGCGTTGTCTAGGGCTCACGTCTTGCTATGAAGAGCTCTTCCCCTGCCCATAAGGCGTCCTTGTCTGCATAGGAGTGACGACGGTGACGGGCTCGTGATTTTCCAGGGTTCGGCATTGTGTTTTGTGAAGGTTTGTGGGCGAGGAGGCGTTGAAAGATATTGTTCAAGGATTTACCGCTAACCTGGCAATCTCGGAGGCAGAGGCTTTCGAGATTGCAGGCGTGGAGGAGCTGAGGAAATTAAAGGCTGATCGTTTCCTTTTGGTTGGGCACTTACTCATAGCCAAGCCTTTCCATAAGGAGGCATTGTTTGGTACTATGAACAATATCTAGCGCACATGGGAGGATGTCATTGCGGTCCCTTTGGATGCACTCGAGAGGTTTTTGTTCTCCTTCAAGTCTAATCTTGATCGTAGAAGAGCGTTGAGGTGTTCTCCTTGGACTTTCGGTAAGGCCCAGTAGTTGCTTGAGGCAACAGACGGTTGTGTTGATCCGCTAACAATTACTTTGGATACCTAGAACTTTTGGGTAAGGGTTAGGCTTATTAGCCCCTTGTCAGAAACGAAAAAAAACTACTCGTCAAATGAAATACATCCAACTACTGCTAGGTAGGGCTGGCTGCCTTAGTGTGAACAGAGTTGGCTTGTTTGGAGGGCTTGCCCTCCGTTGGCAACATGGGATGGATATAACGATTCGTTCTTCACGCCATGTCATATTGATGCCATCATTGGAGTTTTGGAGCCAACTGCATTTAGTGTACTGGTTTTTATGGAAACCCAAATATGATCTACACAAGCATTCGTGGGATCTGTTACGAAGGATTGTAGGTGATGTGATTGGCCGATGGCTGGTGGTTGGTGATTTTAATGAAATCGTTGCGGCACATGAGTATTTAGGCCGTCTCACTTCTAATTGTTTGAATCAAATTGAACTGCAGGCAAAGAAAGTAAATTAAGGTATTAAAACAAAGCATTTTCAATCATAACCTTCCCGAGGTCAGATATAGAGATTTCTTACAAGAATTGCCAACATTCTTGGAGTCATATCACACTATACATATAATAGAACTTCCCAACTTCTCAAAAGAAAGGGAATCTAGAATTATTCTAACGAGTCAAAAAATAAAGAGCTATGCTACAATCAGTCGCCCTGCGCAAGATTAGGCTATTTTTTCCCATTCATTATTGTGGGATGCAAATTTGATTAATGGTCAGAAATTGCTCCCGTTCTTATTTATGTTCATCTTTCCTTCGAAGTCATGATCATTTGTTGTTCCAGTGTTCCTATTGTCAGTTCATATGGTATCAGCTTCTCCTCATTGCGGATTGTATTGGCACTAGTTTGCCATGCACCTCTTTCATTGCATGTTCTGTGGATCACTCGAACGGGAACCAACTCTTTTGTAATCCATGGTTCTGTCTTGCGGCAACAGTTTACTGTATATGGAATCCAGCTGATTTATCTTTTCGAATTTGAAAGCTTCTTCTGCCAAGAATGTTATTATAAGATAATGGCTGCTTTAATTATGAAGTTGGATTAAGTCTGTTTGCTTTGTTTGATCTAATCAGATCATCATATCGCAATTTTGTTTATACATTAACCATTAAAAGTCCTGTGGAAGAAACCAATTTGTACATCCTACTTATTGCAAAGTCAAGGCATCCATATTCAGACCATACACATCGTCTAAGATATGCATGTCCACAAAGAATTTATAGGAAAGCGATATATATATATATATATGTGAGCATTTCAAAACTCTATGTTCCTCTCTAGAAGTATATTTTGTACGATGGACGACTTTAATAAAAATCTTCAGTGGTCCAAAGCTTAAAAAGCTTGGACTTGGTAAAAGTTGGCAGAACTCTCTTTGTTGTTTTCTCTTGTTTTTATTATGAGTTTGTCGGTCAATGGAGTAATGCTCGCTCGTAAATCGATGGGGCAGCCTGTGTTTGACTTTGACTATTGTAAAATAATAGTTTAGCTTTTAATTTCAGCTTAAATAAAACCGGCTGGTAATTATTAGGCTTAAAAGATTTTTTTTTTTTTTTTTTTTTTTTTTATTTAATAAGAAACTTTCACTCCACAAAAGGCAAAGAAAACATATACAACCAGAATGACTCGGTTCAGGTGTAGTGTGAAAATGTGGACTCGTTAAAACCTTGTCATAAAAAACCCAGAGAAGGAAAATCAATAAAGGAAAAAAAGTACCACCGACCACACTGCATTACAAAGACACCTACTCCCATCCATTCTCTATATCTTTCTCCAGCAAGGACAATAACCAGACTCTACTGGCCCCGTGAACAATTTGGTGCATGAAAATTTGGGTTTTTAGCTCAAGTGAGGTCTGGGAATAAGATATTGACTCATTGACCGCTGATACTGCCGGACTTTTTCTCCTCAACATATGAAATCATATCTCTTCCAGGTAAGCAAGCTAGATTGATTAAATACCTAATTAAGTATCTACATTAATAAGATTATTGACCATGAAAAGTCTCCTAGAGATGCATTCTAGAAACGAGTTTCTGGGAAAGTTTTATGAACATTTCAAACTCTGTTTCTCTATAAATAGCCAACAAGAACAACAAATCTTAACATTCATTCTCATTTCCCTACACCAAAAATGGCTTTCTACAATACAAGAAAATACCTTACAAGCGTCATTGCACTAGTATTTGTAGCTGGAGCACTGCTAAACAATGCGACAGCACAAGATTGTGGCTGTGCTCAAGACCTATGTTGTAGCCAATATGGCTATTGCGGCACCGGCAACGATTACTGCGGCCAGGGTTGTAAACAAGGTCCTTGTACTGGCAGCGGCGGCACACCAACCACACCGAGTGGTTCGTCAGTGGCTGATATAGTAACTGCAGCATTCTTCAATGGGATCATAAGCCAGGCTTCTTCAGACTGTGCCGGGAAGAACTTCTACTCTCGAGGGGGTTTTCTTGACGCTGTCAACTCATATTCTGACTTTGGTAGACTTGGTTCGGTTGACGACTCTAAACGCGAAATTGCAGCTTTCTTTGCTCATGTCACTCATGAGACTGGCCGTAAGATATTCTGTTCCTCCCTTCTCATATATACAATGTACACCTGGTACAAAGATACATGCACAAATATGTGTTTATATATATTTACCTGCTTTACCACGTCACTCCTTTTAGTTAGTAGGAAAATGGATATTCACCTGCTTTCTTTTCCACACCCTGCGTTTTCTACCTTACATGATAACAGAAAGAAAACACAGATGATCCTAACAAAAACACTTTTTCTTTTGGATCAGATTTTTGCTACATTGAAGAGATAAATCGTGCAACCTACTGCGACACAACCCGAACAGACTATCCATGCAACCCCAACAAACAATACTACGGGCGTGGACCACTCCAACTAACATGGAACTACAATTATGGAGCTGCTGGAAACAGCATTGGCTTTGACGGCCTAAACTCTCCTGAAACCGTGGCCTCAGACGCTGCTGTTGCATTCAAGACAGCCTTGTGGTATTGGATGAACAATGTTCGTCCCGTTGTAAGCCAAGGATTTGGAGCCACGATTCGAGCCATTAATGGTGCTGTGGAATGCGATGGTAAAGAACCTGGAAAAGTTCAAGCCCGGATCAACTATTACAATGATTATTGCACCCAACTAAATGTTAATCCTGGCGGTAATCTCTATTGCTAGAAGACCAAAGTTTATAATAAGCAGAGATATTCTTTCTAGACATGATCAAAGCTTATTAATTATTTAGATAATGAATAAAAGGGCAATCTGATTTGTTGCTCCCTCCCAGCCATGGAAGAAAGGGCTAGCTCTCCTGTTGTGTACTCCACCCATTCAATAAATAAAGGCTGAAGTTTTGTGTTGATCTTCATTCATTGTCTAATATATATGTGCACAGTGCTTAGAATGTTATCAATTTTGGTGGTCCTGATCTTATTGAAGGTGGATTGTGGTTGCTTGTAAATTCTCAGTTAGTTCATTGATCAAATTTGGATCCCACAATGATCGATGGTGCGAAATTGCCTAGGCTTGCGTGGGTGAAAACTCAGACATTTCATTGCCTTGTCCTTCACAGCCATAATCGAAAGATATGTGGTCGAAGTTAACACGTAAACATGTTAGCTGAGAAGGCATAATGGTGCCAGCAAAGTGATTTAGATTTCTTTTGTTCAGCAACTTCGCCTCCCATGATCTTACAAATAGGCTCATCTTTTGAATGAAGAAGCTTTAGAGTCGGATGAACGTTGAGATCTCCCATTACTATCTTTTGGCCGACATCCAAACTCACTCAAATCCACATCAATATATATATGGAGGGATCACATCTGCAGGACAGAGGAACTTCACAGTCCTCTTGATTATATTTAAATAAGCACCTGCCAAGTTGTAAAATGTCACATTAGAGATTGGGACAGAAATTTGATCAATGGTCAGAAATTGCCCGCGTATTTTTACTTGTTGTTCCAGTGTTCCTATTGTCATTTCACATGGTCTCAGGTGCTTCTCCTCAGTGTGGATTGTATTGGCACTAGTTTTCCATGCACCTCTTTCATGGCATGTTCTGTCCATCACTGGAATGGGAACCAACTTTCTTCTGTAATCCATGGTTCTGTCTTGAGGCAAACAGTTTACCGTATATGGTATCCAGCTGATTTATCATTTTGAATTCGAAAGCTACTTCTGCCAAAAATGTTGCTGCATGCTTTATGAAGTTGCATTAAGTCTGTTTTCTCTGTTTGATCAAATCATGTCATATAAGCCACAATTTGGTTCATAACAAATTCGGTCCCCATCCCGAAAATTACAGATTTCACATAAATACCCACACGAAGAATTTCTCTAGACGTATAGTTTGTACGATAGACAATCCGAAGACTCTGTCAGTCAATCAATGGGCAGCCTGTGTTTCCCTGTAAATGGTTTCAAATGATTAAAGAGATTAAGTGTGCATATAATTACAATGTGGTATCCCTGTGACCACTGATATATTCCCAGACTTTTTCTCCTCAACATATAAAACCCTATCTCTTCTAGGAAAGCAGGCTAGAGTGATTAAATACCTAATTAAGTAGCTAAATTAATAAGATTATTGACCATGGAAAGTCTCCTGTGCAACCTGAAATGTATTTTCTGGGGAAGTGATGAACATTTCAAACTGTATGTTTCTCTATAAATAGCCAACAAGATCACAAAAAAATTCTTAACATTCATTCTCATTCCCTACACCAAAATGGCTTTCTACAATACAACAAAATACCTCACAATAAGCCTCATTGCAATAGTATTTGTAGCTGGAGCACTGCTAAAAAATGTGACAGCGACAGCACAAAATTGTGGCTGTGCCCCAGGACTATGTTGTAGCCAATATGGCTATTGCCGCACCGGCAACGATTACTGCGGCCAGGGTTGTCAACAAGGTCCTTGTACTGGCGGCGGCGGCACACCAACCACACCAAGCGGTTCGTCTGTGGCTGATATGGTAACTCCAGAATTCTTCAATGGGATCATAAGCCAGGCTTCTTCAGACTCTGCTGGGAAGAACTTCTACTCTCGAGGGGGTTTTCTTGACGCTGTCAACTCATTTTCTGACTTTGGTATGATAACCATGGTGGAAAGAAAGTATTTCAGATCTAGGTTTAGAGAGAGAAATGAAAGAAAGGTAAAGCTCTGTATATTTCTCAGAAGTAGTTTTCTTACATGATAATGAAATGAACTAATCACAAGCTTATATAGCTGTGTAACAAGAGTAACTAATCAGATTAACAAGAGTAACTAATTAGACTAACACGAGTAACTAATCAGATTAACAAACACGTGAAGAGCTAACAGACTTGCCACCTCAGCAAGTACACGTGTCAGCACATCATACTGTTATCATCCCCCCTCAATCTCAGCTGGGGGTGAGCCAAGACTGAGATTGCCACAGTGTTTGACAAACAGGGGACTATGAAGACCCTTGGTAAGAATATCAGCCACTTGCTCATCAGTAGAAACATATTGAACAATGAGATCTTTGTTTTGAACTTTCTCCCGAATGAAGTGAAAATCAATATCCATATGCTTGATACGAGAGTGAAGTACCGGATTAGCATTTAGTGCTAAGGCTGACAAGTTATCACTGTGTAAAACTGGAGCTTCAGGAATAACCATATGTAAATCGCATAGCAGCTGTCTAATCCACGAAATCTCTACAGCACAATGAGCAAGAGCTCGATATTCAGCCTCTGTGGAGCTTCGGGAAACTGAAGCTTGCTTTTTAGACGCCCAAGAGATTGTATTATGGCCAAGAAAAACTGCATAACCAGTGGTGGATCGACGAGTGTTTGGGTCACCAGCCCAGTCGGCATCACAATAGCCGGAGAGAAGCATAGTGCCAGGAGAGAAAGCGATCCCATGCTGCAGAGTACCTTGCAAATACCGGATAATTCTTTTGAGAAAACCAAAATGAACATCAGTGGGATTATGCATGAACTGACAGACGGTATTAACTGCAAAGGCTATGTCTGGACGAGTGAAGGTTAGATATTGTAGGGCCCCGACAATACTGTGATACAATGTAGGATCACTAAGAGCAAGACCATCAGTTGTCAAAGCTTGCTGATGAGGTTTGGAGGGTGTACTACAAGGTTTACACGTATCCATGGCAGCCTTCTTGATTAAATCCTTAGCATACTTAGCTTGATTGACAAACATATTGCCATTAGCCTGATAGTGAATCTCAAGACCAAGAAAATATTTGAGTTGACTCATATCCTTGAGTTCGAATACTTCCCCAAGATCACAAATAACAGAGTTGACAATGTCAGGATTAGATCCAGTGAGGATGATGTCATCAACATACAATAAAAGAATAAGAATATCAGAAGAAGTTTTCTTGATAAAAAGACTTGGATCAGAAGGAGACACTGTGAACCCCAGAGTAGGTAAATATCCTGTAAATTTGGCATTCCATGCACGAGGAGCTTGTTTTAAGCCATATAGGGACTTCTGAAGTTTACAGACAAAATCAGGATATGTAGGATCAACAAAGCCTTGAGGCTGCTTCATGAAGACTTCTTCTTGGAGCTCGCCATGAAGAAAGGCGTTCTTAACATCTAGTTGACGTAATTTCCATTGAAATTGAACTGCCAGACCCAAAATCAAACGAACTGTAGTATGTCGAACCACGGGACTGAATGTTTTGTCATAATCTAGACCATATTCTTGACTAAACCCTTGTGCTACAAGCCTGGCCTTATATCGAGAAATAGTACCATCTGCATTCTTTTTAACTTTAAAAATCCACTTACACCCAACAATGTTTGAATGAGAAGGAGGAGGAACTAGAGTCCCGGTGCCTTGTTGGTGAAGGGCTTGAATTTCTTCAGACATGGCGTGCTGCCACTCAGGCTTTTCAAGTGCTGCCTTGAAATGAGCAGGTGTATCAGGCTCAGTGATAGAATTAAGCTGAGTAGTAAAGCTCGAGTACTCAGGAAATTGCCTATGCTGAAAAGAGCTCGAGTACTCAGGTGTATCTGCTGGTGCCACAACATCTGATAACAATATGCTGCCAATCATCTCTGCTGATCAACTGGAAGTCATATTACCTCATATATCTTATTCTTCTGAGTCTGCTCATTCAGTATCAGCTAGTCCCAATAATTGTCATCCTATGCAGACTCGGTCTAAGTCTGGCATTATCCACCACAGGCAATTTCCTGAGTACTCGAGCTTTACTACTCAGCTTAATTCTATCACTGAGCCTGATACACCTGCTCATTTCAAGGCAGCACTTGGAAAGCCTGAGTGGCAGCACGCCATGTCTGAAGAAATTCAAGCCCTTCACCAACAAGACACCTGGACTCTAGTTCCTCCTCCTTCTCATACAAACATTGTTGGGTGTAAGTGGATTTTTAAAGTTAAAAGGAATGCAGATGGTACTATTTCTCGATATAAGGCCAGGCTTGTAGCACAAGGGTTTAGTCAAGAATATGGTCTAGATTATGACGAAACATTCAGTCCCGTGGTTCGACATACTACAGTTCGTTTGATTTTGGGTATGGCAGTTCAATTTCAATGGAAATTACGTCAACTAGATGTTAAGAACGCCTTTCTTCATGGCGAGCTCCAAGAAGAAGTCTTCATGAAGCAGCCTCAAGGCGTTGTTGATCCTACATATCCTGATTTTGTCTGTAAACTTCAGAAGTCCCTATATGGCTTAAAACAAGCTCCTCGTGCATGGAATGCCAAATTTACAGGATATTTACCTACTCTGGGGTTCACAGTGTCTCCTTCTGATCCAAGTCTTTTTATCAAGAAAACTTCTTCTGATATTCTTATTCTTTTATTGTATGTTGATGACATCATCCTCACTGGATCTAATCCTGACCTTGTCAACTCTGTTATTTGTGATCTTGGGGAAGTATTCGAACTCAAGGATATGAGTCAACTCAAATATTTTCTTGGTCTTGAGATTCACTATCAGGCTAATGACAATATGTTTGTCAATCAAGCTAAGTATGCTAAGGATTTAATCAAGAAGGCTGCCATGGATACGTGTAAACCTTGTAGTACACCCTCCAAACCTCATCATCAAGCTTTGACAACTGATGGTCTTGCTCTTAGTGATCCTACATTGTATCACAGTATTGTCGGGGCCCTACAATATCTAACCTTCACTCGTCCAAACATAGCCTTTGCAGTTAATACCGTCTGTCAGTTCATGCATAATCCCACTGATGTTCATTTTGGTTTTCTCAAAAGAATTATCCGGTATTTGCAAGGTACTCTGCAGCATGGGATCGCTTTCTCTCCTGGCACTATGCTTCTCTCCGGCTATTGTGATGCCGACTGGGCTGGTGACCCAAACACTCGTCGATCCACCACTGGTTATGCAGTTTTTCTTGGCCATAATCCAATCTCTTGGGCGTCTAAAAAGCAAGCTTCAGTTTCCCGAAGCTCCACAGAGGCTGAATATCGAGCTCTTGCTCATTGTGCTGCAGAGATTTCGTGGATTAGACAGCTGCTATGCAATTTATATATGGTTATTCCTGAAGCTCCAGTTTTACACAGTGATAACTTGTCAGCCTTAGCACTAAGTGCTAATCCGGTACTTCACTCTCATATCAAGCATATGGATATTGATTTTCACTTCATTCGGGAGAAAGTTCAAAACAAAGATCTCATTGTTCAATATGTTTCTACTGATGAGCAAGTGGCTGATATTCTTACCAAGGGTCTTCATAGTCCCCTGTTTGTCAAACACTGTGGCAATGTCAGTCTTGGCTCACCCCCAGCTGAGATTGAGGGGGGATGATAACAGTATGATGTGCTGACACGTGTACTTGCTGAGGTGGCAAGTCTGTTAGCTCTTCACGTGTTTGTTAATCTGATTAGTTACTCTTGTTAGTCTAATTAGTTACTCTTGTTAATTTGATTAGTTACTTTTGTTACACAGCTGTATAAGCTTGTGATTAGTTCATTTCATTATCATGTAAGAAAACTACTAGGGGGGATGATAACAGGCATACCAGAGGTGAATTCATCACCGAGTCAAGAAGAAGAGCACACGAAGAAGATTGGCGAACAACAATTGCAGAGTCGCCAGAAATATGAGCAAACTGGACAGAACCGCAAGCAGCCACTGATTCGCCATTGTTGCAATTTGAGAGCTCGAAAATGAAATTAGCGGTGATACAGTAGAGCGGGCTTTGAGATTGTGGAGCGGAAGCGTAAAATATCAGGAATCGATGAGCCGAAGCTCTGATACCATGATAACCATGGTGGAAAGAAAGTATTTCATATCTAGGTTTAGAGAGAGAAATGAAAGAAAGGTAAAACTCTGTATATTTCTCAGAAATAGTTTTCTTACATGATAATGAAATGAACTAATCACAAGCTTATACAGCTGTGTAACAAGAGTAACTAATCAGATTAACAAGAGTAACTAATTAGACTAACAAGAGTAACTAATCAGATTAACAAACACGTGAAGAGCTAACAGACTTGCCACCTCAGCAAGTACACGTGTCAGCACATCATACTGTTATCTTGGTAGACTTGGCTCGGTTGACACTCTAAACGGGAAATTGCAGCTTTCTTTTTGCTCATGTCACTCATGAGATTGGCCGTAAGATATTCTTTTCCTCTCCCCTCTCATATATACAACGTGCACCTTGTACAAAGATACATACACAAATATGTGTTTCTATATATTTACATGCTTTACCATGTCACTCTTAGTAGGAAAATGGATATTCACCTGCTCTTGTTTTTTTTTCCACACCCTGCTTTTTCTATTATAACATCTCTCCTACAATCAAGGGTGGAGCTATAATTGCAAGTTTGGGGGGCTAGTGTATAAAATACTAGTATAAAAGATACTTAAGTATTCAAAATTCATGTTAAAGCTTAACATATATATAGTTCAGGTTATTCACCTCTCATTGTGGGAGGGGGGAACATTTACTCAAAATTAACAAGGTCTCTTTAACTATTTGCATATTGCAGAAGTTGGTTAGTAGTTAGTCAAGACAGTGAGTCTGCCCCTTGCACTCTAGTTCGTATCTCTCTCCCCATAGATTACATTAATTTTGAATTTCCTAATGAATATCACTGATATAAGAAAGAAACTGACAAATAAACTATGGATGAAAGAATTTGACAAATAAACATAGAAACTGAGCAAGCGACATCCGCCCAAGTGTGTCCATTGAGTATCTGCGAACTAAAATGCTTATTACCATAGAATTTCAGATCAGATTCACAAGAGATACGAAGCAGACCCAGTTTCTTCCTCTCTTTAACGGCATCCTTGACCGCCACTCCCCACGCTCCCTCGTCAAAAGATAAAGAAACCCAAAAAGGCAAAAAAAGAGGGTGAAAACTCTATTGCCTTGTCCTTCACAGCCATTACAAATCAAAAGATACGTGGTCGTAAACATGTTAGCTGAGAAGGGATAACGATGCCATCAAATTTTCATGATAATGCAGAGCCAAAATCCAACCATAGCAGTTATTTAGTTTTCTTTTGTTCAGAAACTCTAGCTCCCATGATCTTACAAACAGGCTCATCTTTTGACTGAATAAGCTTTAGAGTCGGATGAACCTTGAGATCTCCCATTAATATCTTTTGGCCAACATCCAACTCACTCAGATCCACATCAATATATGGAGGAATCACATCTGCAGGGCAGAGAAACTTTACAGTCCTCTTGATTGTATTTAAGTAAGCACCTGCCAAGCGACATCAATAACTAAAATTAATATCCAATAATCACGAAAATTTCCAGTATATAAGAAGACACATGTATGTTCAACATATAAAAAATTCAAGTCATTTCATGATTTGTAGATGAGTCGTTCATCAATATTGAATCATAATAAAAATCTGTCAGGAAAATTTCTGTGCAACTGTCTCAACTTTATAAATCTGCCATAAATTAAACGAAGAGTTGGATTAAAGAAACACAAGAAAGTCAACTTTATCACCTTATTTTATCATGGATTAATTCAAATTACGAAATCATCCAAGTAGACATCATCGTAGAATAGTTCAAAACTGAAGAAGTGAACAACGCAAAAAACTTATGAATACTAACATGTACCTACAATCTAATTCTTAGGCTGAAGATAAAATAGTCCAAATAAGTGCTGCTTATGTGATTATCCTTCTCCTTAGAGCATAAAGTTGAAAATTAAAACCAGTAAATACAGTGTCTTAGAAATCCTAGTTCATAAAATTCATGCAAAATAAACATTAGGTGCCAGCCTCAAAGGTATTAAAGTATAACTATTTGAATTTCTAAAACACTGATCCAGAAATTATGAAAAATTTATATGCATTACTCTTCCCCAATTTCAACTTTATTTCACTATCATGTAAGATCAAGGGCAAGATGAAGAGTTGGATTAAAACAAGGAGTTGAAAGGAATGTGTACCATAAACATGATGTACATAATCTCTGCAGCGGAAAAAGCAGCATTACAATCATATGACCAGGTAGATTTTTCTTGTTATCCTATAATATATAATTTACCAAGACAACAAAATTAACCTAGATTTGTCAAAACCAGGAGGTAAAGTTTTCTAATTGTCTGATGTCAAAAGCATAGAATAGAACACACACAAGTGCATACATAATTGCATGATCATTGCATAAAACAGAATATCAAAAACAACACGCACACCTTTAGGCAGAAAGCAACATCAAAGACATTGAATCCTTTTACTGTAATACATTAACGTTGAGTTGGACCGGATAAAACTAAATTTCTTTTGAGAAACTAATTCATCTATCAATAATTTAATGTTATAACTTTTTGATGAAAAACTAACAACCTCCATTCAAATTTAGCCATATTATCAAGAATATACAAAGATGTATAGTTGGAATTAAGAATATGTTGTATCTGAAGGCAGTCACACCCCTGTATGCATTCAAATCTACCTTTCTTCAATCCAGGAGAGACATCGTCCCCTCGAAACACAAGAGGAATGTCGACTTTCAACAAAGCATGAGAAGGAGCCCTTATGAAGGTCACATTAAGCGGTGCGTCCGTGGCCGAGTGCAAATGAATCTAACAAACAAAAAAAACCCCAACATCAAATAAACCCTAACACACCAAAAACAAAATCAAATCTTCTGAAGATAAACAGAGTGCAGAGCAGACCATACCATGCGAGGCAAAACGCGGACCCTCTCAACGATGTCGTCTTCAGAGTCGAAGTCGGAGCGAACCTCGAGGTCGAAGAGCCTGGAGAGGAAGAAAGTGCGGCCGAGATGACCGACGAGTTTTCGGATCTGGTTGGTCCGTACAGAGATGAGGCGCTTGTTGCCGCCGTGCTGGCCGTCCTCTTGCTCGAAGACGATGCTGGGGACGCGTCCCGCCTTGCGCTCTTTGGCGGAGATGCTCTTACCGGAGGCGGTGCGTGGGACGGCGAAGATGGTCTCGGCGTATTTCGGGTCGGGTCTCGGGAAGGTGGACTGAAAGTCGGGTTCGACTTCCGATTCCTGGTGGAGCAGAGCGGCTGTGGCAGATTGGGCGTAGCGTCGGATTTGGAGCTGGAGGGCTTCGGTTAGTGCGGCGGGGCGCTGCCTGTGGAGGAACATTTTGGTGCCGGCCTAGAGTGAGAGAGGAGCTCTGGAGACGAAATGTAATTAACGGGGGTTTAAGAGAGGTTTTTATTTTTGAGATATTCAGTGATATACCCATTTCTATCACTAATATTATAAATAAACCATACACAATTGAATTTCTATAAACAAACCCAAAAAATGACAGCTAATCTTATTGAATTTAATATTAATTATTAAATTACTTTGATGCCCTATTAAGTGTTTTGGGTATTTTTATGATATTTTGGGGTTGGGCTTGTTTTAAGAAATTGATGACAGTTTTGTAATTTATAAGAAATTAAAAGCATTTTTGTTATGTCGTAAATAGGTTTTGGGTCTGTTTTTAAAGTTCATTTCATATGGGTTATTAGGATTTAGGGTTTAGGACTAACACCCTCAACAACCTAGTCCCTCGGTTAACAGGAATGAATGGTTCGGTGTGGTTTGGTTTCGATTTTCGTCCCAAGTGGGCTACAAGGCTTAGAGAGATATCTTGGCTGCGTGACGAGGGGATCGAAGGAGACAAGGCGAGATAGCGCAAACGGAGAGAGAGAGAGAGAGAGAGAGAGAGAGAGAGAGAGAGAGAGAGAGAGTTTTGTATATTATGTCATGCTAAAATGGGTTTATTAATGAAATCCTCAAATTTAAACGATGGGGATCTAAATTCGGTCAATTAAGAATTCTATGCAATTTTCAATTCCTTCATCCAAACGGAGGATAAAAGTTATCAGTTGGCTCTTATGATATCATATAGCAGAGAGACTTTTATTTCATCATATAGCAAAGAGATTCGGGAACTTGTGTCTTTCTCCTCCTTCGATTCTCATCTTCTTCTTCCTTTCATTGTTTTTCCAGGGAACGCCATCTTCTTCTTTTTATGAATTCAGACGGCTAGAGCATGATATGTGCTGGCAGAATTTACTAATACAATTAACGTGTTTGGTAATCACAACCCTTAAAACAAAAATGGTAAACAAAATGAGTAGGGCGACAATATAAAGTAATGTAACACAAGTAATAATTACTTTGTGTAATCTTTTCTTTTTAATCTGAGGAGAAACTTAACGTAATCATGCTTCAGACTAAGATGCATATCCCAATCCCAAATTAGCCATCTCCAGTACGTCCGGCTGAAGTCGGAGGAGGGGGTGGGGTTGGCATGCCCCTTAATTTTCTCGGTTTTTGATCTGCAGCAATTAATAAACTCAACTCAATATCAATAACATCAATCAAATCATGTGTAACATGTTTTTTTTTTTTTTTTTTTTTTTTTTTTTTTCAATCGCCCCCTGTATGACAAGTTAAATTATATAAGTTTTTACAAATAAGCTCATTTTAGTATGACATATTATACAAAAATTTATATCATTTTTCATTTTTTAATCAACTCTTAGAAATTTTTAGCACACTTAGAACTAATTAGAAAATGACAAGTGGCTATTTTGGATTTTTCTCTTTAAATAGGTTCTATAAGAGTTTTTGTATAACATGTATTATGTCATATTAAAATAGATCTATTTGTGAAAAGTCCTAAATTATACAATGCATAAATATATGAAGAGACAATTAGGTCACAAGACCGGTCATGATTGAAGGGTCCTAATGGAGTTGAAGTGTGCAAATCCATTAGGAGCCGAAGAGAGAGAGAGAGAGAGAGAGAGAGAGAGAGAGAGAGATTGAGCATGAGGAGAGAAGAAAGAAGAGAGAGAAGAAGGAAAAATAATAAAGAAAGAAAGAAAGACGAGGAAAAATAATAAAGAAAGAGAGAAGAACGAGAAAAAAATAATAAAAAAGAGAGAGAAGAGGAAATAGAAATTTTTTTTTTAAAGGGTGAGATTTTAAACAAACGGCAATTGGTGTAGATCCGATAGTCAAAACAAAACACAAATCCGTAATGAATTCGCATACTTCAACTCCGTAATGGAGAAGGATCCATGATTGAAAACTCTTAATTTTAGTTAGCCGCTCTCAGAAATAAAAATGGATGGATGTCAATTAATTATCAAGACATAGTGTATACTAAGTATTATTAGAATGAAGAAATGAAGCTACCTGCATGAACGTGATGAGGTGATTGCATGACCAAGAATGAAGAGACGATCAATACGAGCAGCGTCAGAAGACGGATCGAAAAGCATGAGATCAGTCCCATCTCTCAACTACTCTTTCATAGATCGAGCGATGCGGCCACTTCTAGTTTCTATTATGTTGCCTTACCACCTCTACCTCTCGCCCGTGGCTAGATATTTATACCAATGTTTTTTCTTTAAAGATGAGATATATATATGGTAATAGTAGTCATCCATTAGCTTAAACTGCAAGTCATGAGTCCCTCTTGCCATGAAGTAAGCTTGAAGCTCTGGTGAGAACCCGCGACACGCGCTTTGAAGAAAAGAAAAATGAATGAATTAAGAAATTTACACATTACGTACTATTAATTCTAACGACAGAATGAGAAACAAGAAGTGAAATATACGTTTGTTTTCCAATGGCCTGCTTCCAAGTAGCATTCATATCTGTTTTCAAAGCAGTGTTTGTTGTCACATAATGCTTTGACTCTGACTTTGAATTACACATTACTATTAATTTTAGGTAATTTGCACAAACAGTTGAGTCACATAATGCTTTGACTCTGACTTTGAATGACACATTACTATTAATTTTAGATAATTTTCACAAACAGTTGAGTCACATAATATATATATACAGAGAGCTTCAGTTGAGAAATCCCTCAAATAAGTTTATTTGAGAGACACTTTTGTAGGACCCACCACACATTGTATTTCAATTATTTGAACGGTTTAACTTTTAGATATTCCCTTGAAGATCATCGCTGCAAAAAATTACTTGAATCCAAAATTATTTGACCACTCAATTAAATGGTTGTTATTAAAGTCTTTTCTTGAATCATCGTGCTCGTCTATTTTGTTGGTCCAAACTAGATGCCTTAATGATTTTCAATTTCCTGATTTTTTGCAATAATGATATATGAATAAAGAATTGAAAAATAGACGTTTGGATCGTTGAAAAACAATTCATAAGAGACCATAAAGAGAGTGTCCCTCAATAAAAGGAGATTGATAAATACATATCCTCTTCTTTTCTTTTGTTTTTGTTTTGTTTTTTTGTTTTTTTGTTTTTTTGTTTTTAAAAAAAAAAAAAAAAAAAAAAAGGATATGTATACAGTGAGCAGTTTCGGGAGAAATAAAAACTAATTAATCAGGACAATAAAGAAACGCGCTTGAGCATCTTTGACATTGACTTAATCAAAGTTAAGAAAATAATGTAATTGACTTTAGACTCATATATGTTTGACTTCTTTCCACTATAGGCTATAGATGAGTCTGCCGACCGTTAAAGCACCACTAGCAAACTTGAGCTAAATGGTAAATATCATACGGAAAAGCATCAGTAAGAAACTTTGCTTTGTATCCTCTTCTTGCTAGACAACATTTGTAGCTTCCGTAGGATGGATGGCATCCCAAAAAATACTGCGTCCTGTTCTTGCATGGGAATACATGTGATCTGACCTTTTATCACCTCACAAACATGAGGCATTTATTAAAACCAGATGGCTAGGATAATGAGACCGCTCCTTTTGCATCTAAGTTCGGGTCCTTTCCCCGTAATTTAGAATAATTTAGACTATCGCTTGTATGAAATAATAATCATATAATTAAAAAGGAAGATATTGTTATACTACTCTTAATTTGCTGAGAATACTGATGAATGAGAACTCTTGCGTATTGATCTGGTGTGCATTGGCAGCTAGTGTTGGACATTGAAACGAAGTCGTTGATAGTGTAATCATTGGTACCACTTGTCTTCCAGTTTCGTTGGGGATACAGCTGCCCCAGATGCATAATTCAAGCCTTTGAGTATTTCCGATCCTCTTGCAGTAGCAAAAGGTGGGATGTAACTTTCAAAACCTAGTAGTTCAGCTGCAATGAGAACAATTTCAAACTAATTAGTAATAGAGTACATACATATATAGAGGGCCGCTCCAATGCCAAATGCAACCTAATTAGTCAGCCTCTATCTAACTTTTTGATACAATGAGAACAATTTTGACTTTCCAGCTATTTTATAGAATCTATTTTGGCTTAAGTTCTTCCCAAGATTAAAAACGAATCACAAACATTCCATTCAATTTCTATTCTTTTTTCTTTAAAAATGAAATTGTATTTGGCCAATAGGGTCTAGTACAGTGAAAAATCGTTTTAACTTGCATGCCAGTTGTTTCAAGTCCAAACTCTCATGATACTTTGATAGTGCGTGTGTGTGAGAGAAACCCCTCACCTCTTTATAGTTTAGACTATCACTTGTATTAAAAAAAATAATTATTATAAAAAAAAAAAGAAAAAAAAAGACACTTGCAAGGATGATCGATATCCACGAATCATTACAAAATCGTTTTACTTGTGCTTAGATCGATCGCGTGTTCGAAGATAAAACTAGTGCCTCACACAACTTCAATATTAGCCACCATTTTTATGGACCATTTATGTTGATGCTCTTTTTCGGAGATTGTCAACTTAGAGAAAAGGGGTTTGCCTTCAGCAGTGGAGAACGTGTGGACCTTCGATAAGGGGCTAGCCTGCAAAAGACAAAGTAGGAGAAGCAATCGTTAAGCTTCGAACATCGGTATTGTGCCGGCCAAAGGCTCTCCGATGCTTAAGTCAGCTACGAATAGTAACTTTGGCAGAGTAACAATAAAAGGTAAGAAAGTAGTTGCCCTCTTTACTAGGGTACTATTCCATATTTATAGGGAAGTGAAACTGAGAGGTTTGTGAAGAATTTCGATGTGGGACTTTGTGCAAGTTGTTGTGATGGTGACACGTGTCATGGAGATTAGGTTCAGCAGTTTGAGAGAGACAGCAGTTGGGAGCTTCGGCAGGTGTCTGACCCAACACGACTGTATTTATGATGCATATGTAATGCAACGCAACATCATATATCTCTGCTAAATAATAATACATATAATAACAATAATATTTCATATTTAATCATATGAATAATAATATTCACTCAACGTCACATAATATCCACAGAGAAACATTAATAATAATATTCACATAATATCAAATAATATTCACCGAGTAAAGCAACAATAATATTCATATTTATAGTACTATATATAAGCACCAAGATTAAAAGTGACATAGCCCAATCATTGGGAAATCAGGAAACCCTACCTCATGGCCAGCTAGCTTAACCTTGTGCAGATTCGTTGTCGAAGAGTACGAAGACCAAAAAAAAAAAAAAAAAAAAAAAAAAAAAAAAAAACTTGAAAGTTGTTTGAACCAATCATTACTCTCTTAACCTCACGTTCAAACAAGCATTAGAACCAAGCGTCAAGGAAAACCAATCTATTCCCTGCTATAATTGTTCTACTCTTTGGGATGTTTAAAATCAGGTGGTTCGGCTCTAGACTCATAAAGAAAATTTAAAACATCAATTTAAAACAAAAACTTCAGTTTTGCTAAACATTTAGGTTGGAACACGTTAACTTTGAAAATTCACTAAATATTGAGTTTAAATCAAAATAATGTAAAAAATTTCATATCACAACTAGACATAGAAAAATTAAAAATGTCAAAATTTGATGGAAATTAGGGTTAAGGAAGCATGTCAAAGTAGAACCAAAACAAACTAGGCTGCATAATGTTATTTTTTTCATGTTTGTACACTTTATTTTGAAAACTCACCAAAATTTCAATTTACAACCAAAATGGATAAAACTTTCTAGATAAATTTGAAGAAAATACGTAAAAGTAAAACATAATAAAATTTCATGAAAATTCAACTTCAAGAAGTTTTCAAACACGTATACAAAACATGGCATGCGGTAGAATCAGAACAATTCCAACAACATAGTCTCTAGTTTGAAATTTCACAAAAAACTCAATTTAAATTCAAATGGCACAAAACCAACTTTGAAATAACCCTTGAGATATCAATTTTGATGTAACAAAATCCCAGAATAAAATTGGTACAAAATCACATCGAAATAATCTAGAACTTCAAAGAAACACACTTTGAAAGAGATATATGTCATTGAGGTATTCTAACCAACGCTTGATTTATAAATAGTACTCAAAGAGACAATAGAAAGATGAGCTTCATGCATTCAAAGAATCATTTACTTGAGATGATAGTGGCTAATTTGATCAATTGAATGACAAGTAATTAACAAACCATTTGAGAGAAAGTACACATCTATAACAAGAAATTCAATATAATCAATGAACAAGTTCCATTCTAAACTTTCCCAAGGTGGCTATAGAAGTCCAATCAACCTAAATTTTTGATATGTTATAGTAGACAGAATTTCGAACAACTTTGATGAAGGAACCAAAGTCATTTGAATACAAGAAATCATAGAAATATTCTGAAACCGATCATACTACTGTGAAATCCGAAAATGGTAAACATACTGTGATCATACCAAGTTTTCGGAGTCAATACTAATCGGATTGAGGTGAAAATGGAGTATGTAATAGGAATCACGTAAAGAACAACTTTTATGAAGGAAGTTTTCTCATTTGAGCTCTCTAAATTTGAGTTCTCAGCTGCTCCAAGGAAGTGACGAATTTTTGAATTTTTGAAGAAGAACAAAAGAAGAATGAGGATAAAAATATGTGAATGAGGAAGAAAGGGATGATACAATGAATGATGAGGATAAGAATAATTTCATGATTGAAGATTCTTAGAGGTGAGTCATCAATTTAGAGTGATAATACAATGAATGGGGAGGAAGAGAATACATTCATGATTAATTAAGGTATCTTAGGCTAGGTGAGTCATCAATTTAGAATAGGTGACTCACCACTTTCATAATTGCAAATTTGAAAGCTTGAGGCAAGAGGGGAAGAATGGGAGAAGGGTGGTTTGATGCCCTACACATTTCTTTTTCTTCTTTTTTTTTGGACTACAAGGGTATTTTGGTAATCTTTCACACATAGAGGTATTTGGTCATTTTGTCAAGCTTGAAACTAAACACACTTAATTTAATAATCTCCATCCAAAATTACTTGATAAAATACCCATAATCATTCTCCACCATAATATTCTTTTTCACTAAAATATGAAAATCCACCTTGAATTTTTCGGGGTGTTACACCTTACTTAGTTAGGATTTTGGTTCCTTTTTTAGTTAGGATTTTTGTTACCAGTTTTAATGTTTGCCCTCTCCCCCTGAAGAGAAGGGTCGTCGAAGTCAAGAAATATGCAATATTTTCATGAGAAAGAGAAACGTATCATTTTCACTATTCCTCCCCCCTTAAAAGGAAGGGAGGTGAGCACTTAAATTGCAAGGAGAACGCAAGCACATATCACAAGAGAACCTGGCTCTAATACCATGTTAATTAAATTTTAGAGAGACGGTAAGCGGCCCATTACTAGGAACACCAATATTGTCCCCAACTTAATCACCTACAAAGCCTAGTAGGTGTGGAATTGTATCACAAAAGGCCGTGGTCTTATTAGGAGAGGAACCACTTATTATAAGTTGTAGTTTATTAAGTCAAGTTTATAATGTGGGACTTTATATTCTTCAACACCACTAAGCATGCCAAATAAGATAAGAACACATGTTCAAAATAATTTATATTAATTTGTCAAGTGTGTGGGTTAGAACTAATTATGTGATCTATTCTTTACAAGAATATTAGTTCGATTTGTTTGATGCATAATGCATATAGATTACTAAATGATATCCAATTTAATTGAGTTTTAGGAAATGAACAATTACGATTATGACATGTGTAATGAAGATTATGTCAAGGTCATGTATAAACCTTCATAAACTCATAAATCTCCATACATATATAATTCCCAAACGCAGCTGATAACTTTATTTCCTTCATAATCATGATAACTTTATTTAACTTTATTTCCTTCATAGTCACTTGAACCATATAAGTGGTTGATATGAATATGGAACGCACAATTAGGATGGTTGAGCTAAGCGGTTGATGTCGTAGGGAAAAGCATCAGTAAGAAACTTAGCTTTGTATGCTCTTGCTGCTATAACAACATTTGTTGCCTCTGTAGGATGTATACCATCCCAAAAGATGTACTGGGTTCTGTTCCTGCATGGGATTTGAAAAGCAATGCATGCGCCGCCTTTCACTTCACAACATGAGACGTTAGAAATCAGAGAACCTGAAATATAGAATAGCCAATATTAGTCAATTAACATGTTTGTGCCAAAATTTGAACTTTTATCTGTTTTTTGGCCGAAATATATTATCAAGAATGTTATTTAATCACAAAAGGTCTCGGCGATATTAATAGTGAAATCATTAATTATATGTTGTATTTTATTTAATCAAATTTCTAATGTGGGACTTATATTCTTCAACATATTTACTGTATACCTAGATTTCGATTCCACTTCCCCACTATCATTTGTATAAAAAAGAAATAAAAAGTAAAGTTTAGAGATATTAAAAATGACCCTGAGATAAAGCATATGATGATCCAATCCCATAATAGTCTATGTAAATAAACTTGGCATTTCTTAGATTGCTGTTGAGTTCTTGGACAAGTGATATAAGCCTCCAGTTGAAAATTTGAACTGCATTGTTGATATAAGAAACGCAAGAAGAGCCTTTTGTGCCACACGCAGCCACTTCATAAGGTATGGAGCCTAAAGGACCTAGCCCGAAGAGAACTATCTTTCTTGCCCCAAAGTTGTACAACGTCTAGCATAATCAGAAAAGCTTCAGTTATATAAAAGTTTCAATTAATTTCATAATGCATAAAGTAGATGTAAAATGATGAATTTTTTTAGTACAAGAAGCGATTTCGGGATGTCGGATTTGCACAAATGTAAGAATGTAGCTGGTGAGAATGTAGCCAGGCCCAGAGCGGACAATATCGTGTTAGGGGAGTCGGGCCGTGACAACAAATATTCATTAAGGGCATTGGGGTTTTAAACCACATGAGTAGAGGTAGAAGAGCTCAACCAACTAAGCTATATACCTCATTGACGACCTAAAATGAAAATTTTAAATAAAGAATAAGCCTAGTTAATATATAAGAGATTGTTTTACTAACTCTTAATTGCTGAGAATATTGTTCAACGAGTACTCTTGCATATTGATCTGGTGTGTATTGGAGGCTAGTGCTGGACAGGGAAACAAAGTAGTTGAGAATGTAATCATTGGTGCCCATTCCAACTGTATATATGCATTTGCCTAAGTACTCCTCAGCTGACGAGTCATTATTTCCCCAAAAAGAAGCTATCTGTTTCACTATGCTTTGATGATTTTGCAACTGCATATCCATGCTTATTATCTGTCCCTGCAAAATCGAGGAGAGGGGGTTAAAATAAATCTTTGATAAATTTTGACATTGTACTGATTGGGTATCGATAATTTTTCATCGCAGATCACTTTAAATCAACATGAAATTTAGAGCATCCAAAAGGGTCCTATGGTCATGTAGTGAAGAAAATAGAACAATGTCCCTGCATCAAATAATAAATTACCGTTTGTCTTCCAGTTTCGTTGCGGATACCAGCTGAGCCAGATGCATAATTGACGCCTTTGAGTAATTCCATTCCTCTTGCAGTTGCAAAAGGTGGAATGTAATTATCCAAACCTAGTAGTTCAGCTGCAATGAGGACATAATAATCAGTTATTTTCGTGCTGAAAACTTGCATGAGTTTTATATTACAGTGAGAAAAAAGGGAAAATGTTCATGTGGTCGTGCTCTCCAGTATCACACTATAATTATGACTGGATTTACATAATATGTTATTTGAAATTTTGCAGAAAGACAAGAAAACTGACCAACCGCATCGACCAAATTACGTCCATTGGAAAACCTTCCAGTTGGACCCCTTGGAAAATCAATGCCATAGGGTGGAAAATTGGCTTTGGCCAAAGTGAGGAGGGGATTGTTGTTTCCATTGTCGGATAATGAGTCTCCAAATATGAAGTAACAAGGAACTTGTGGTTGTGCTGCCCCATTAACCAAATAAATTAAAAAAATTGCAGAAAACAAGGTCCACAAGGGCTTCACAATCTCACGTGCCATTTGAAAGAACAAATTATAAATAACAAAGACACAAAGGATTACAAAACCAACAAACAACAAAACACAAAGGAAGTGAAATAGCAATATAGAGATTTGGAATGAATGTGGTAGTCTGGATAGTGCACATACTTATACTGGAAGGATTGCATAAATAGGCTACACAAAAGCATTGCTTTAGGCCATATTACTCAATGATTAACCCAAGCTTAGTGGTACACCAAAATATTAATAAATATTTCGGTGTACGTCCAATTCTTGTGATAAAATTTGGGTGCAATCCACACACGTATTGTTAGTAATTCAAGTCTTTTGACTTCAATGTCACGTAAGATTACATTCCTTTTCTAATTTTATGATGTAATCATATATATTTTTTCTTTTTAAATTTATTTTCTTGTTCCAATTATGCCCTTATGATTTAAATCGGGAAAGACTTATTCATATCATAATAATTAGCTAATTAATGCAACTATTGATTCTGATTGCAATTCATAAACGGGTAAGAAATTAATTTTAGGCCAATAATTACTATATTTGACCTTTTAGTTAATTATAATTTGAATTTATAAAATATTTTCTTGTTTATCCATTTTAATTTTGAAAATTCCATAAACATGCACTGATACAAAAAATAAATAAATAAATTTCCTATAATCCTTCTTCTTCATCTTGTTCATCTTCTTCTTTCTTCTTCCTTGTTTTTCTTCTTACAATCCTATGAAGGAGGTAAACACAAACCTGCAAAGCAGGTAAATCAAACCACCCAAAGACATATATACCTCACCATAAGGTATTCACTGGTTGAAAGCTTTTGATAAATTGAGATTAATTGTAGAAATGTGAAATTAATTTATTGATTGCAGTAATTAATAAAATTTAAAGGATTGACTGTACAATGGCAGTATGTGTAAATGTTTTAGAACAGTGACCAAGGCTTTGCATACTTGGATGGCATATTGAGCTGCTGGACCCAATTCTGCGTCAAAAGAGAGGTGGGCTGCATTCATAGTGCAAACTCAAAATTGGACCTATATCAACAGACCCCTAGTTAAGAGTATTTACCCCTACATCCTAGTCTTAGGTTCGATTCCCCCTCCCCCAATATCGCTTGTATAAATTAAAAAAATAGGCCACACAAAAGGATTGTTTTAGGCCATATTTACTTAATTAAGTAGAGTGGTGGTGCTGGTCCCTGCTTTAGCCCCCTCAGAGTCGTATTTGACTTTCCACCTATTAAATCTATATTAAATTTGTTATCTTGTGCTCAATTTTATATTTGTTCTCATCTCATTTTAAAAAATCTCCCACTATCTAGATCATAAGGTTCCCTAGAACTTCTAGGAAAGTGATATGTTGCTTTTCTTTAGGAGTTGTGCCATTCATTATATATTTGTATTTCATTTAATCAAATTTTTTATGTGAGACTTATATTTTTTAACATTCATTCATATAGGACTTCTATATAGAACGAAAACCTTCGAAAATCTCAACAAACAAAAGAAAAGAAAAAGGATCCCTCTTAATAAGAAACTGGAAAATGCCATGTGGGATCTAAGTCTCAGAATAATAGTTCGAAGCGTTCAGTTTTTAGGTTTTTTTTATTTAAAGAATCATGTGGGAAAGAAGAAAAAAAAAAACTAAACCAAATTGTTTGTAAATAGACGAGTGAGCCCAACAATAGTCTTTATAAATAACGTATAGTGTGGTACATGTTGAGTTTTGGTGATGAACTTAAAGTCATCTTTATTTTTCAGGCAAATAAAGTCCACTCTATTCTTAATTAGATGGATTACACACGTACGACATATAATTTGGTGCAGAAAAGGTCGTCTCTTTGGCATTGCACTCAATTCTGTTCAAGGAATAATTTGAATTCAATTGTATGCAAATCGAGCTTTGCCCTCAAAAGGTGGTCTTTGTTGCCATAACTTCAAGGTGCGGCATTGGCTCTAATGGGGCGCCTATTCTAAAATGCTTAGAGATGGAGCTATAATTATATAGTTAGGGGGGCCGAAGTAGAAAATACAAGTATATAAAACACTTAAGTGTTCAATAATTACGTGTTTAAAGCTAAATATTTATAATTTAGTCATGTCTAATTTATTTTAGAGGAAACTATAACTTAAATTATAAGTTGTTTATTACAAATTCTATTTGTTTTATATAATATAATAGTGGGGGGGTGGGGGGGGCGCGCGGCAAGGGCCACTCTAGGCCTAGGAGTGGCTCCGCAGCCGAAAATGCCCCTTATGAAAAAGAAATATTTTTTTTCTCACCACTTTAACCTCTTACCACTATTCTCACCCCTTTGAATGGGATGTGGTTACCTAATTTGTTGACATAACCATAGTAAACTCATTGCTCTTTGTATTTGTGGATCTATGGTTATGTATATGGACACGTGTCAAATATTGAGAATAGTGGTGGGGGTATATTTTGAGTTAAAATGGTGAGAAAAAATGATCCCTTATGAAAACTGTCCAATCCAAGGGAATAAATTAGGGTATGGTATAATTGACGTTTCATAGTTATCATGATCGAGAAAGTTATCTTAACAATGCAAGAATACCTTACATCTTATTAAAAAATATTCAGTACATTAGGTTAGAACCCTACATAACTTTTTTTTTATTGGATAGAACCCTACACAATTTAGCATTTGCAAATTTTACATGCATTATATATAAACCAAAAATACAGGCAGTACGTCTCTAGACAATCTGCGCAAATTAATAAGGTAGTTATATAACTAAATTCTATCATTTTAAATTTTAAATTAATTAATTACCGTTAATTATTTGAAATTTTAATTACAAAAATACGTATTTTTTTTGTATAAATAAGGATTCTTTACTAATATACAGACACCTTTTATAGATAAAGTTCGCATAATTGTGTTTGGGAATTAAGATCTAAAACTACACAAAACTGAACCGTTTGTAATTTTAAATTGATCATGTGATTGATGTGCAACGAGGGTGCAATGTATATTGTTGTTCATTTTGGAGTACTTTACATTTTTGATCATATGAGCTTTTGTTAGATGCACGTTGAATTTTTGATTAAAAATCCAAGTACTTGTGATTCCTAAAGAAGCACGTGATTCTCCATAGGATGTTTTTATGACCCAAAAGTACTTTTAAGTTTTTCTGCCATGACGTGTTCATAAGCGTTTTTTATTGTTAGAAAATTCTTTTAGTCATTCTAGAAGCAGTCCCCAAACAATCCAACCAATGTGAGGGCTCGTTAGAGATGCTTCTCTAGGAAGCACTTCTGCTCATAATCTTTTCTAGTAAAAGCGCTTTTATTATAAAGATGTTAAAATTTTCATAAGAAATCGAATTACTTCCTAGAAAAACACTTGGGAGTGCTTCCTGAAGAAGCACATGTAAAGTGCGTCTCCATAAAGCGCTTCTATGGCCTATAAGCATTTCTAAACTTTTTTGCGAAACGTTGTCAGAAGCGTTTTTTTGTTGTCAGAAAGCACTTTTAGCCCTTTATAAGAATCACTCCCAAACGTAAGATTAAGTTTATAATACTATCTTATGTATGAATTGTTTGAGTATCATAGTAACTACAGCATTCTAAGCAACCATTTATATAGAATTAAGCTGCATTCATGCCAATACAAAGCATGCCATTTGTAGAAATGACAGTGAAACCTTGCAATTTGCGCTTGATTACAGGATCTACCTTTGTTTCTTTTATATATATTCCACAAGCAGCTGTTAGGAACTTTATTTCTTTTTAACTGATTGCACAGTTACACTTGTGCCAAGTGGCTGATATCATATGGGACAGCATCAGTAGGAAGTGTAGCTTTGTATGCTCTTCGTCCTACAACAACATTCGAAATCTCAGTTGGATGGAAAGCATCCCAAAATGAATATTGGGTCCTGTTTTGGCATGGGGTACTGAGGGGGACACATAGGCCGGTCTCAGTTTCCGCCTCACAGCATGGGGCATCTGAAACCACAGAACCTGAAATACAAGAGGGTTGATATATTCTTGACTGTCCATTGTTAGTTTAATTTGTTGAAAACTATACATACCAACAGATGCAGCAGCACTGGATAATCCAATCCCAAAATAGTCTATGAAAGTGAACTTGGCATCGATCAGGTTGGTGTTAAGGTCAGTGACAAGTGATTTAAGCCCTTCGTTGAAAAGTTGGACTGCATTGTTGATTTTAGCAGAGCATAATAAGGAGCTGATGTTTGTGCCACCGCACATAGCCACTTCAAAGGGTGTAGACCCAATCGCACCTATCCCAAATAAGGCTATCTTTCTTGCCCCAGTTTTGTACAACCTCTAGCATCATCAGAAAGCTCAGTAAGCTTTGGTCACTAAGTTCGTAGCAAAGTAATAACAATACAGTCAATTAGAATCAGGGTTTTTATCATGAATGGTCCATGAAGTTGCTAAAACAAGGCAAAGTATAGCACACGTCTCTTGCTCAGCAAGGCTATATGCTCTCTTTTGTGGAACTCAAATGTGAAGGAGATTGCTTTGTTGAACAAAAACGTGACTTTTCTGTTACATGGCGGTTAGCATTTCAAATTAACAGTTTTACAACGTACCATGCCAAATTATCTGTCATTAAGAAGAATATTAATTAATATTGGTGATTAACAGTTTGACAACGTAACATGCCAAATTATCTGTCACTAAGAAGAATATTAATTAATATTGGTGATGGTAGTGAAAGTTACTACTAACTCTTAGTTGCTCAGAAAACTCCTGAATAAGAACTCCTGCATATTGGTCTGGGGTATATTTGCGGCTAGTTGAGTATAACCTTGGCATGAAGTAGTTATTAATGTAGTCATTGCTGCCAATTCCAACTGTATATATGCACTTGCCCAGGTACTGAACAGCTGATGGACGATTATTTCTCATAAGGGATTCAATCCGATTTACTGTGATTTGGTGATTCAGCAACTGCTGATTGAAGCTTATTCTGATTAACTGCAAAATAAAACATGGGGATCATATTACAT